ATATGTACATACATATATACATAAATATATATATATTTATGTCTATATCTAAATATCTAAATATATATACATAAATATCTATATCTATATCTATATATATATATATATATATATATATATATATATATATCTTGATGGTCACCTCGAGGCGGTGTAATATTTAGCAAGTTTGTCTCGCTAGAACAATTTCGACTGCGTATTGTGTTCGATCTTCCTTGGTTCCCCATACTTTCGGCCTTGTGTCATATCTATTCTACGCTTGGAAAATACACTCTATATATATATTGTTTGTTCCATCTTCACAGATGATTGCCGTCTTTCCCATCAGTACCTACATTCAGTCTAGATCTTTGTTTCCTTTCGAATGATTTCGAAAGTGGTTCTTCAAACCAGCAGCTGTTTTGCAAGGCCTATAGCCTAGATGACAGATTTGCTACAGAGTCTTTACTGGGTTAAGTGGATGCTACTCTGGTAGGTCATCCTTGTGTACCACCATATGCTTCTTCAATCCAGATGTCGATTCACTTACTTCCCTGCCGATCTCACAAGTTGTATCACCTCCAGGTCGTGGAGATAACACAGACTGATTACAGATGATTAACATACCCAGCTTTTGACAGTATGATACGAAAAACAAACACCGATATTGAATACAGACTTAATCTTCCTGGCGAACATCAGAATTGCAAAATCATTTCTTCATCTGACTCCTTTGCCTCTGAATTTTTAGTGTATCGACAAACTGTTCCGCTTGTCCGTTTGATCTTGGGTGATAAGGAGGAGTTGTAATGTTCTATTGCTAATGGTTTGAAAAATTAAAAAAAAAAGACTAAATTCACTAGACGTGAATTGAGTACGTTATCTGAAAAGATAGAGTCCAGAATATCGAACCCTGTAAAAATATTGTGTAGGAAATTTATCGTTACCGCAGAGGTCGGTCTTGTACATTTTAATAGCTCTGGCCATTTAGTGTAACTATCAACTACCACTAGATAGTATGTTCCGTTTAACGGTCATGTGAAGAATATATGTATTCTGAACCGTGGTATATCGGATTTTGGCCAAGGTTAAATTTTGATAGGCGGTGACTTCGTTGCCCAGAGCACAACCTCGGCATGATCTCCCTAAATTTTCGATGTCCTTATCCATTTTTCGCCCATAAGTATAACACCTCATTAAGAATTTCATTCTAGAAATTCCTGGATGCCTTTTATGAAATTCTTTTAACATGAGTCTTTGCAACGATATTGGTGCTCTCTGCGTACATAAGTACATCATTACATAATGAAAATGCATTGATTCCAATAATGTTTTCATTTAAATCTTAATTTTTCCTTCATTTTCATTATAAAATCGTTATTTTCCGTCTTAATTTTTATTTCTTCCAATGTTAGGAGCAGTTCTCTTACAATATTATATAATGCATTATAAATTTCATTTTCGATCCTAAATGCTGCCATTACTCTCTCCAAGTGGATCGCGGAATTTTACTATTAGTCTAGATAATCCGTCTGCATGTCTTGATTTTTGGATGGTAGAAACTCCATTTTATAACTATAGTTCAATAGAACAGTTCCCAAGTGCTGCAATTCATTCGTTGTATGCGGGAGAACACCTTTTTGATACATATATGGAGAATAATGGAGGATTGTCTACCTGTAGTATGAATTCTCTACTATATATGAATATGTGAAATATTTCATAGCAAATATGATGGCCAATGGTTTGTTTTCCATCTAGCTGTAGCATTTTTCAGCCGTAATCAATGATCTTGAAGCATGAAATTTCGTTTAGTTGTTCCATCTTCATATTTGTGTAGTATCTCTGCTCTAATACACGAATCACTTACATCTGATGCAACCACAATCTTTAAATTACGGTCGAAATGTGCTCGTGACAAATCCGATGTTAAGACTTTCTTGATCTCTTCGAAAGTGCTTTGACATTTATCTGTCCAATCCCATTTCAAATCTTTAGCAACTTATTCAAGGGTGCTCTTAAGTCGTGCATGTTTGATATATGTATATGCTAGTAAACCCTAAAAATGCTTGTAACTTTGTTACATTGGTTTGCGCAGGTATGTCTTTTATTGCCCTTGCGTTTTTGGATAGGATCGTCTACCGTTTTCATCAATTATTTGTCTTGGATATTTAAGTCTGGACATATTGTCCCTTTTTACTTCACTGATCTTAAAACCATATTCTTTGATTCTCCCAAATACTTTCTTTACATCTTCTGCATGTTGCTTTCGGATTTTACTTTTAATAAGTACGTCATCCAAATATGCTTGAGCACAATCCAAACTGGCAAGCATGGTATACATCTGTTGGAGTATTCTTGGTGCTAACTTTATACCGAAAGGAAGTCGGTTGAATTTGTATAACCGTCTAAGAGTGTTAATTTCTAGTACTTGTTGTTAAGCGACTGACAGATCCATTTTTTTAAAAAATCCTCTGGAATTGATAACGGGCAGTTATGTTGTTTAATATTTTCATTTAAC